AGAAGAAGAAGAAGAAGAAGAAGAAGAAGAAGAAGAAGAAGAAGAAATAATTGAAGAGGAATAGATTAACAGAGTGGACATGGAATATTGGTATAAACAATATGTCTATACACCTTACCTGAGGAATTAATTCCCTTCAAAGCTCTTTGTTAATGAAAATATATGAATAATTTGTGCAGTAAACTCACAGTCCATAAAACTGCAATTTTTGAGATAGAATTTGCCTAGACAATATTATAGCAAGTCATTAAGCAAAATAATTGGAAAAAACAAAACCTTTCCAAGAAAACACCTAATTACATGTTATAATACTAATTTTTAACCCCTTCATGTGTTTAAGTCCTACATATTTCAAAATAATAAAAGCCAAATGTCAATCTGCAAAATTAATAAACAGATATGTTGTAAATCCAAATCACAGCTCAAATAAAGAAAATGTAATTTTTAAGGAAATTTCAGAGAAATTAAGAAAAATGTATTGTCTGGACAGATTCTTCTGAAAACAAATGCTCTGAGGCCTTTACATAAGACAGAAAATATGCACTTCCCAATGGCAGGAATATTGGAAATTGGAGTCTGAAAATAGTTAACCCCTATAGATCTGCTTTGCAAACACATGGAACAAGCACTGAATGCTCACCTGTATCTTCTAAACATTTAAATATGAATAAAACAAGAATGGGGAGAAATTCAATTGATGACTAAACCCCAATTTATGAACTCACCTTACAAGAGGGGGCAGAACCTGTTTCCAGCTGTGGACTTCTGTCCTCAGAAGAGGGACAAGAAGGGAGGTTAGGACTGAAGGCCATGAGGTCGTTCTTGACTACCCCATCTCCGGAGCAAACCCTCTGCCCCCGCTTCTGGGAATACGACCAGCTATTCATTCCACTGGAGCACACTAGCGTGGGTTTCCCGGGGCTATAGACAGCCTGAGAGGGAGTGAAGCATCTTAAGGCCACATACAGCAACAAGCTTAGCACCAAGAGGCTGGACACAGCGCAGATAGCGATGATCAGAAAGACATTAACATCTCCCAAGACCTTCTCTTTCGACATGCCCACCACCTCTGCCTCGCGGGCTACCCCAGAAGAGGCTTTCACTGAGAGTCCACTCTCTACTAAAGACACAATCACTGTGGCTGTGGCAGACAGAAGGGGCTCCCCATGGTCCTTCACTAACACTAACAGCGTCTGCCTCGGCCCATCCGACTCCTCCAGGGCTCGTGTAGTGCTGATCTCTCCCGTGTACAGACCCACGCGGTAAGGACTGCGACCTACGCCCACCTCTGGCAGCATTTCATAAGATAGCCACGCGTTGTAGCCAGAATCCGCATCCACAGCCCGAATCTTCGCCACTGCGTGACCCGCCGCTACAGACTGTGACACCAACTCGGTCACTGGGCTAACCCCTGCGTGAGGCGGCAGCACAACCGGTAAGTTGTCGTTCTCATCCAGCACGAATACCTGCAGGCTCACGTTGCTGCCCAGAGGAGGGAAGCCCGCATCGCGAGCGCTCACTTGAAACTGCAGCAGCTCGAGCTCCTCGTGGTCCAAGGGCTGCAAGGCGTACACTTTCCCGCTCTCCGAGTGCACAGACACGTAGCTCGACAGCGGACGCTCTCCCAGTTGTCGTTCCACCAGCGAGTAAGACACCAGCGCGTTCTCCAGAGCGTCTGGGTCGGACGCTAATACAGTGAAGATGTGACTGCCTGGAGGATTGTTCTCCTTCACAAACACAGTGTACTCGGGCTGCTCGAAGACTGGCGCGTTGTCATTCACGTCGCCGATGCCCACAGAAACGCTGGCCTTGGCCCAAAGGACTGGCGTCCCGCCATCCCTCGCAGTCACCACTAGCTCATAGGCTGGCACATTCTCGCGGTCCAATGGGCCCTCCAGCACCAGGGAGTAGTAATTCCTGAAGGTGGACACCAGCGTGAAGGGCCCCTGGGGCGACAGCGAGCAAGTCACCTGCCCGTTGGCACCTGAGTCACGGTCAGACACGCTGATGAGGGCAATAACTGTGCCTGCCGGGGCGTCTTCTAGGACTGGCAGTGATAGTGAGGTCACGACCACCTCAGGGGCATTGTCGTTGATGTCCAGAACTTTCAGTGAGACTTTACAGTGGCCAGACATTGATGGAGTTCCCTTATCGGAAGCAATTACCTGAATTTCATACGATTTGGCTTCTTCATAATCCAATTGTCCCTTAATTCTAATCTCCCCAGTCCTAGAATCTATTTTGAACTTGTTATGTACACTCAAGGGAACGTCACTGCTGAATGAATAGATGACCTCGCTATTTAATCCTTCATCTGCGTCAGAAGCGTTTAGTTTGATCACCAACGTTCCATTAGCTGTGTTTTCTAGTAATCGGACTTTATAAAGTGATTGGTCAAACTCCGGTTCATTATCATTCACATCGAGCACTTTAATAAGCAAATGAACAGTGCCAGTGAGTTCGGGTTTACCCCCATCTGTGGCGATCAATAATAAATTAACTTTCGATGTTTCCTCTCGGTCTAAAGCTTTCCTGAGCACCAGGGACAGAGATTGACTCAGTTCTTCATTTGTTTGTACATCCAAGGAGAAATATTCACTCGGACTGAGCCTATAGCTCAGCAGGGCGTTCGACACTGAGTCAGCGTCGGACGCGCCCTCTAGCGGAAAACGCGAGTCAAGTGGCCTGGATTCTGAAAAAAAGAAATTTTTTGACTTCGTAGGGAATACAGGCGGGTGGTCATTAATATCCTTGATCTCCACCTCCACATGGAAAACCTGCAGCGGTTTCTCCACTATCACCTCCAGGTGGATGCTACAAACAGGATTGGGGCCACACAGCTCCTCTCGGTCGATCCGCGAATTCACAAACAAAATGCCATTTTGAGCATTTACCTCCAAATAGTCTCTGCTGCCCTTGGACACCATCCGGAACAGCCTCGTCACCAGCTCCGCGACCTCCAGACCCAGATCCTGCGTGATTCGCCCCACGAACGTACCGTGTTTCGCTTCCTCCAGCACGGAGTAATGGACCTGGCCGCTCCCCAGCTCCCAGGCTGTGTGGAGCAGAATTGAGAAGAGCAGATGCTGGGCCCTTGGGCCGTTCTGACATGAAAACGTCATTGCAAACACTTGGTGAACTCTTCAAGTTAGTATTTCATGTCTCAAATAAAGAAATTAAATAAATCTTTACCTCTAATGGCTGTCATCCAGTACTGCCGTATTGTTTCCCTGGACTGACATAATGGAGCTTCTTAGCATCCTAATGATGGAAGATGGGTTGTTTTACCTTCCTAGAGAAGACTTCGTGGCGGACAGCGACATCATGTGGCTAAATGTATAAGCTCTACCACTATGCCTTTATTTCACTTCTAATTTAGAATAGGGAGTGAAGCACTAAGTCGTTTTCCCTAGTCATCCACACTCATGTTTCTAACATATCAGACCAAGATAACTTGCTTTTTAAAATTGATTCTGTTTCTGAAAGTGCATCAGGTAGATAAGACAAAAATAAATCAAGAATATAACTATAACAATTTTTATTCAAGGGGAGTTATGGCAACACAGGAATAATGGATTTGGGAGGGTTTTTTTTTTCAGTGCTACTATAGAGGTTTTGTGCATGTGCCATGCACCTTTTTTCATAGTAATAGTCTTTGTTTTGAAAGTGGTGATGGATGGGAGTCAAAGAATCCCAAAATTTCAGATTTAGAAAGGAACTCAGGAAGCCATCCAGCCCAACCTGTACCTGAACTACACCATCATGTTACAACAGAACTTTTGCTTAAATTCCTCTATGAGGGAGAGCCCACTACCTCCAGCAGTAGTCCCTTCCACTTTTGGATAGCTCTGAATGCTGGGAGGTTTTTCTTTACATCAACCTTAAATCTGCCTTTCTGAAACTTACACCCATTCCTTCTAGTTCTTGCCCTGGAGATAAACAAAATAAGTCATCCCTTTTCTACATCATATCTTTACAGTTACCTGAAGAAAGCCACCAATCCCTCTTGAGTTTTTTCCAGGCTAAAGACCCCTAACCTTCAACCCTTCAACTGTGCTAATAAAGCAGAATCTTTGGGCAGTTTGACATCGTTATTGCCTGCATATCAATCTCTTTGCTAAAGCATGGCCACCAGAAAAGAATATAATATTCCATTTTGTGATAGCATGTGTATCAATTCACTAATCCTCAGCACTATGCCTCTCAATGCAACCTAAGATTACATTAGCTTTTGTGAACTGCTATATCACATTGTTGATTCATATTGAGTATAAAATACACTAAAACCTCCTGATATTTTGCAGAGAACTTCTGTCCGGCCTTTTATTCAATATCTTGTACTTGAAATTTTCATTTTTAATCCTAATATAAAACTTCACACTTAATCTCTATTAAAATTTCTCTTATTAGATTTGACCAGTATTGTAGCCTGTTGATATCTTTTTGTATTCTTTATCTAGAATCAAATTGTTGACTATTCTTCCTAAATTGGGATTGTTTGCAAGTTTGATAAGCATTCCAACCATTCAGTTATTCAATCCAGTGCCTAGCATAGTCCCTATCTCACAGACAAATAGCAAACATATGTTGAATTGAATTGAATTCATTAACATAAATATTAAACTTCACCAGGCCAAGCACAGAACCCTGGACCACTCTACAAAAGACTTTCTTCCAAGTAACTTTTCATCATGTCCACAAGGAAAGCACAAACAAGCTTGTCATTTTTTTAAACCTAGGCAAACTATTTCTAAAGCAATCTCATAGTCTACTAATCTAATAAATTTGTCAAAAAAGGCTTTCAGTTAGTTTGAGATGAGCTGTTGTTCATGCAGCCATGTTGGCCTCAGTGATTTCCTTTTCCAAATATTTACTAACCATTCCTTCAATTCTTTAATTTTGTCAAGAAGTAAAGTCAAGCTGTATGGAATATTATTTTAGACTCCATTTTTCTCTCTTTAGAAATTTGGAACAATGTTTGCCCTTCTCACATCCTGTGGCATCCCTACTGTTTCACAAGACCTTTCAAAGATGACTGGTGGCAATTGCATTTTCAATCCTTTTGGTACCTTGGGTTGTAGTTCTACTGAGTCTAGTTACTTGAATTCCAGGGTAGCTGGATTGTCTTTTACTATTTTTCTACTTACTTTAGAGTTCAAAGCCATACTGACCATTTTTGTTCCTCCCTTTTCATAACATAGATAATTCTTATTGTTAGGGGAAACAAGCAAAATAATACTTGATCAACTCTTCCTTCTTTCTACCATCAATTATCATCATCTATTTCCCATGCAGCAGTGATCTGATTTCTTCTTTGATCCTTCTCTCTCCAATAAAGCTTTTTAAAAATCCAATATGATTTTTATATGACCTTACCACTTTGAATTGAACAGATGAATGAAAAAGCACTATTTGCTATGTGCAAATCTCTGCTTTACTAGAGATGCATTTAGAATATCTAGATAGTCCCCGCTGTCAAGGAACTCATTCTAATGAGGAAGACAGCACAAATAAAAGGGTTTAACTGCATAACATATGGAAATGCTCAATGGTCCTTAGTGATCTTGCTTTCACATTCTATGTGTATCATTTTTTAAAAATCTAATTTCATAAATGGATTTCCAAGGCACCTATATTTGACTTTGTGAACAACACTGCTTTTTCTTCTTCATCAGAATTCCATTCTTGATAACTTTCTATCTTTCCTGGCCTGAATTCTCATGTAGAATTTTATTCATTAAATACCATTTATCTTTTTGACCTTTGAAAATGACTCTCCAAAAATCAATGGTGCATTTCAGGATTTCCTTCCTTCTCTGTATTAATTTCTATGGTGGAACAATTGTCAATATTTTCACTTCAGAAACCAGTTTCTGCATGTTGATAAGAATCAGATCTGTAAGTTTATCCATCTTATTAAGAATAGAATTATCATTAAGGTAAGTCAATAGGGAGTTCCAGCATATATGAAGACAATTGAAGTCTCCTTTCATTACAACATTATCTTTTTGTGTTAGGATTGGTATATCACTTAATCTTTTTATCTATTTCCTTTATCTATGCAGGTGATCTGTAATATACTCCTATACAAATATTTCTGTTTCTTCCTTTATTGTTCTTCACCCAAAGCATGCTAATACTCATGCTTCTTCCCCTACTCTTCATTCTGTATTTCTTCATGTAAGTATATCTTTTTCATATACAATGCTTCTCCACCCACTCTTTTACTTCTTTTGGATAAGCTCTTACAAATCTATAACACAATACTTGATCCCATTTCACCAAGTCTCAGTAATTCCTGTGAAATCAAATTTGCCTCTTTGCATTAGGATCTGTAGCTCAACTTGTTTATTGCTCAGATGTTGTGCTTTTGCATACATACATATACACATGGGACCATAGGTTTTATTTCTGGCACATTTTCTTGGATTTTGTCCCCTGTGAATTTCTGGGTCTCTCTACTGAGATTTTTTTTTTCTTCCTATGTTGTGGATACTCTCTATGATGACTAGCATGGGGGCTATAAGAAGGTCATTTTTTCCTTCCACATTCCTTTTTAAGTTTAAGTTCCCTTTGACTAGATTTACAATATTTCACCAAGAGCATTTTTATCAGTTCTCCTTAGGTATATTCCATCCCTGACCAACAACCTACCATTTGTATGTTTTAGACTATGGTTTAAAAATCCAAATTACATTTTCAGACATCATCTTATTAAAAGTGATTTCTTTTATTACTGTATTTCTTCTTTTCAAAATTATTTTTTAAATTTAAGAGTATTTTGTTTCTGCATTGTATTTTTATGTCTATCCCCCCTTTCTCCTCAATCCATCAAATTCTTCCTTGTAACAAACATTTAAAAAGAAAGAGAAAAAAGCAATTAGGCAATGTCAACATTGACTGCATTTAACAGTATATGCAATATTTCACACCTAGAGTTTTCCAATTAAGGGTGGATGGTACATTTATTTCCATTTTCCTTGTGCCAAGTGGGGCCATTATAAGTATGAAGTCTTCAATTTTGTTCTATTGCTTTTTATTACAATTCACATTCTAATAATCCTTGTGCCTCTTGTTTTCTTGGTTCTGCATACTTCACTGCATCAATTAATATAAATTTTCCCATGTTTCTTTGAATTCTTGGTTTTCAGTATTTCTTTAAAATGCCTTCTTCTTCTATAACTCTCACTCTCAATCACCAGCAGTGATTGGGGACTATGTGTATGCCTAAGGGTTTGTTCCATGTCCAAGACTTCTTTATTAATCTTTTCAATCTTTATCCTTGCTTTTTGGATTGCTTCTAGAAGTAACATTTGTGTCCTGATCAATCACCATACTTGAATAGTAGTCATCGGATTTATCAAACAAATGTACTTTTCTTGTTTTAATACAATTATTTAAAAGAACAAAACAAGAACAAGAAAATAGTCAAAGACAACACACAAAACTAGAAAGAAAATGATCAAAAGACCCCCAAAATTTGTGGAGTTGAGAAATTAAAGAAGAGTCAAAAAATATATCAACTATTACTGATAGCCAAAGTGCAATAAAGGAATTGGGAAGAACGCAATACTGGGTGATGTTAACAGCCATAAAATAACCTAATGCTATGAAGAATTAGAAATCTCTAGTAAGTAACAAAAGGAAATAATCTCCTTGGGGAACTAGAAAAAAATATAGAGAATTTCAGGCTGCAGTCCACAAAGACCCGAGTTCAAGTTCCATCTCTTTCAAGTGCAAACTATGTGACTAAAGAAATTATTTAATCTCTCAGTGCCACTCCCTAACAGTCCCTCCCCCACCCTGTCATCCCCTCCTCCCACAATTCCCTAAGATTATATCTTGCTTGATTAGTGCTTATCTGCATTGATAGAGGGAGTTTCCTTACTACTGTTCTCCTTAAACCAATGAAATTCCAGGTATGATCAAAACAACAATAATACCCACAGCAGCATCAGCCACAGAGAAGCCAAGGTCAAGGCTCGATGGAATTATTTTCTTCCAAAGAGTAGAGCTATGTTCTAATCAATTTTGTTTTTTTTTTAAATCAAATATTGCCTTTCCATAAAAGTGAACTCTTAATGTTTTTAATTACTAAACACATTCCTCTAAAAAGGAATTA